GATGAGAATTTGCTAAAAATTTCCTCAGGTTTATATTTTATCATTAGCATATGTGAAATATTTTTGCATACAGACGTTTATAGTATATAATTTTGTTGTACTCCAGAAGGCAACAAAACTATTATTCGTAGTGGATAGAAGTAACTAGTACTGTATATGAAGTTGCAGCCAATTGTGTGAGGAGCTGAGCGATGATGAAGACAATAGATGGGCAGAATTACGTTACGGGCCGTTACGGTTTACTTTTACGGTTACGCTTCAAGCCTCGTACCGTAAAATTACGGCGCCGTAACGGGTTTTACGGAGATGCAGAGGACAAAACGAGGATTGATAATTCAAGTCGCCTAAATCTATTTCATGTGAATGCGAATCCGTAGATGAGGCCAGCTCGGCAGTTCCGGGCCAGCCTGGGAGTAAGACGGACGGAATTTGCAAAGGAGACGAGTGGCAAATGCGGAACCAAATGTTACTCTCTCAGCGGTTCGGTTGAATTCGAGCCGCAAGAAATGAGTTTAACAACTATTTGAGCTATCGTGGAGTGCATCACAGTGAATCTCTTTGCCACAATTCTGAAAAAGCAGTTCAGCAACAACCGTAAAGTCGAAAGGCCTTTCCGTAACCGTGAACTGCTTACGTTACGCACGCCGTAACGTAAACCGTAAAAAAACGTTACGCTGCCCATCTATAACGAAGACAATAGATTAGGGACAATTATTGTGTAACGACGCTGGCGTATCACACATTTACATCAACTTTTCTGAGTGGCTATTTTTTTGGTGCGCGTATTGATGTCGATTTGATCGTCCTGCTCTTAGGGCGCTGGGTAGGGAGAAAATGGAGGTTGTCTTGAAAGACAACGACTCGGAATTTCGCGACTTATGCGATGAAAAAGAACTCGGGTGAGAAAAAAAAATATTTTATTTCAATGGTTGAGTTTCACATTTTCAGGTGGCAGTCTAGAGCGGTGACGCTGTTGTGGGACCGCAGGAAGAAAAATTTCGAGGATCAAACTTTGGACACTCAGAAAGCCACTCGAGTTCGATTCACCCCAGAGGAAAAGAAATATTTCGAATTCTACAGGTGAGTTTTTACACGTTTATTAATTTCATATACACTACGTGAAATCTGAAGATCCTAGCTTGTTAACTGCTGTTCATATCAACCTGAAATTTTGTATAGCAAACAGAATTATATTGGAATTTTGCCCTAGTGATATGAAAAACACGAGAGAAAAAATATTTTATGACTACTGCATATCACCGCGAATATCGCGTTTTCCACAAAGGATTACGCCACTTCACGTAAAACGGGTGATGAAACTCCATTGTTGAAATATGCCGTGGAGTTTATTTTCGAGAAAATTATTTTTTGGAGTAGTCTTTGGAAATTTTTTCAAAATGTCGTCGCATTTGGATGTCTTATGGGAAGTGAAATTTGCGGCTTACGAGGGTCGTCTCAGTAAAAATTTAGTGTGATGAACCAAACCGTTATGCAAAGTAGTAGTATTTTCAACTTAGCCTTCAGTTTTCGGGAGTTTGTCGAAAGTCAACTTTGAGTAATATCAACATGATAACAATGTGAATCGATTGATGACACCAACGTTTTAGAAGCGTTACGTAGTCTATAGTCATACTACCGTAAAATTGAAGTAAAAACCAGTATGCACCACTGTTCGGTTCGCATTGTAGATGCAATTTTTGCTGCGTTTCAGTGTAGAGAATGGAGTTTCACTCGTTTTACGTGAAGTGGCGTTATACTTTGTGAAAACCCCGATATTCGCGGTGATATGCAGTAGTCGTAAAATATACTTTTCACTGGTGGTTCTCTAATGAAAAATGAATATTTATTTGGTTTTCGATATCTTCAGGGGGCGATTACCGCAAATGTGCCCAGAAGTATTTTCGAAGCTCCCCTCGCGCCCCGCACCCACGAACCAGCTTGAGGATGCAGTTGAGAGAGTCTTCGTGGACATTGGCTCGGCTCCTGGAGGAATGAGTAAGTTGAAGAACGTGTGGTATGCGGAACATTATGTGTATGAGAATAATGAGTATTAATAGAGCGACCCGTTTTACGTGAAGTGGCGTAAAACTCGGTGAAAAGCGCGATATTCGCGGTTATATGCAGTAGTTGTGAAGTATACTTTCCACTAGTGTTTTTTTCATATCACTAGGGTGGTGAAACTTCAATGTTTTATAAAACTATCCCAATTTTATATGTGAGGAGAAGGGAGGGCCAGACGATGTGATAGCGTAGGCCGCGTCCCGTTGTCGAGTGCCTCGAGGGGTGCTCACTCCTGCCCACAGAGAGGAGTTTAAGTCAGATTGCTTAGCCGAGGATTTATAACTATATGGAAGCTCTTGTTGATACGGGTTGATGTATGGAGGTTGATAAGTAGAAAATTCCGAAACAAATGAAAAATAAAAAATACCAAAAAATCAGCACATTTCACACTTCGCTTCGCGAAAACGGGTGAAACTAGAATAAATAATCAACTTTGATGTAAAAGACATCAAAGATTACCATTAATATTAGATGAAATTTTCTCCATGTTATCGCACTGAGATGATCATCTTGATCACTGGAGTTTCACCACCCTAGTGATGTGAAAAACATATTTCACGACTACTGCATAGCGCGAAAATTGGGGTTTTCACAGATTATTACGTCACTTCACGTAAAACGGGTCGTGAAACCCTACTGATAATTAATAAGTATTGAAATATATGTTGGCTTCCTACAGCTGAGCTCAGAAGTCTTTTTATTTGTTATGAGAATCTACTAGGATTTCCTCAATGGAGTTTCACCCTAGTGATGTGAAAAACATATTTCACGACTACTGCATATCACCGCGAATATCGCGTTTTTCCACTGGGTTTTACGTAGCAGCTTGACGTAAAACTCCAATATTTTTCCGTTGATATGATAATCTTGTAGGTAAGTTTCTGCTCCACCACCTACACTGGACGAGGGGACACGCCTTTTCATTGGCACCTGAAGATGGAGGTGAGTCTTGTCGCTGAGGAACTGTTTATTAGGAGAATATAAATTTTGTATAGTTTTATAATTTTTTGAAAAACTATATTTCAGCATATATGGATATATACTATGTTGATGTTCATGTGTTATGTTAAACTCTTATGTTCATGCCATATGCTATAGCGAGAACATATATGTAGTATACAATGGATGTGTTATTATTCATCGTATATTATGTATGTATTATTCATCGTATATTATGTATGTATTATTCATCGTATATTATGTATGTATTCTTCATCGTATATCATGTATGTATTATTTATGTAGTCACTTGTACTTGTTACGGTTTTTATTTATTGGAGTTCCACCGTTTTACGCGAGGTGGCGTAATACTGTGTGATAAACGCGATATTCGCGGATATATGCAGTAGCTTTGAAATATATTTGTCGCTAGTGTTTTTCATATCACGGGTCAAGAAACTCCAACGAATGAACTATTTGTTAATGTATATTATGTATGTATTATTTATATAGTTGTTTGAACAATGTAGTCGTCATATTGTTTACTTTATTAATTATATGCTCTTTTCCCATTGAGGTAGCAACTTGTGGCTCGGTAACAGTGGGCAGCGACTTCGCAAATCGTATGTTCCAACTTTGTGGTGAGCCTTCGTCTCCTTGGGCAATCACACTCCTCAGTTTACAGAGCTCGTTTGCTTGCGTCGCTTCGCCAATGTTTATGGCGCGAGTTTGTGAGATGGCAGTCAGAGTTTTACATTTGTTTCCTCAGGGTTAGAGATGAGATACCACAATACGTCTCTCGAATTCGAATGTGCTGATATGGCTGAGAGTGGCGCTTATATGCGAATCGCGAAGACGCTGGAGAGCCGAGGATTTAAGAAGCATTCGATCGACTTCATAAACCTTGGTGAGGAGGCATTTATTATCAAAGTGCTTTCCACTGCGATCGACTTTTTCCCTGGGAAAATTTCAAAAAAATCAACGTTTTATGTGAAAAAACGCGATTATATTCCTGCTATATAGTAGTCGTGAAATATAATTTCGAATAGTGTTTTCCATATCACGGGTGAAACTCGAATTTCTTTATATACTCGAGCTGAACTGCTTAGCAAATTTGCTCGCTAGGGGGTGGAGTTTCATTTGTTTAACGTTAAGTGGCGTAATACCCGATGTAAACTATAGAGTGTGTGCGTAGACCGCGACCGATAACATAATTGTTTTCCGCGTTGAGTGAATCGTGGAATATGTTTTCACTAGTGTATTTCATATTACGGGTGAAACCCCATTGTGTTGCGAAAAGTATTTCTGTCTGCATTGAAGTGTGAAAATGTATAATTAGCTTTGGAAACTCCCGAGCTCAGCTGCTGAGGAAAGCAAACATATATTCCTAATCCAACAACACAGATCGAAATTTGAACTTCCTGACAGGCTAATGTGTTCATTGTGTCAGGAGTTGTGATTGATGTGGGTCAGTGTAATAGGGATGATGATCCCTATGTTACTGCAAGGAAATCAGTGGAAGTATGCAGAAATCAGTTTCTGCTCATGCTCGACTTCCTCAAGCCGGGAGGCTCCTGTACGAATGCGATGTTGTTGTTCTTGTTGATATTGGTGGTAGTTGGCGTTTTTGTCAGGTATGTGGATTCATAGTGGCTCTCATCTGGACACGTATCTATTCTATCTAAACTGGCTTAACCGTATGTTTCAGCGTCTAAGGGTGACTAATACCTTGGTGAGTTGCTGCCAGTTTATAGTGTTATGATATTACATTGGAGTTTCACGACCCGTTTTACGTGAAGTGGCGTAAAACTCGGTGAAAAACCCGATATTCGCGCTATGCGGTAGTCGTGAAATATTTTTTCACTAGTGTTTTTCATATCACTAGGGTGGTGAAACTTCATTGGATGTCCACCCGTTTTACGTGAAGTGGCGTAAAACTCGGTGAAAAAGCCGATATTCGCGGTGATATGCAGTAGTCGTGAAATATGTTTTTCACTAGTGTTTTTCATATCGCGGATGAAACTTCACTATGCATGGATTTGGTTTGCTTGTTATCAGGTTCCTAGTCGTAGCCCAGTGTACACTATTGCGGAGAACTTTATACCGGGGGAAAGCGAAGCGGCGTTGAAAGTAGGATTAAGGAGAAAGCCTTTAGTTACAAGCACTTGATCAGGCCTGTGATGACTTCCGAGATTTCCTGCTCTCTCATCCTGCGGATCCATCAACTCCTGAGATATGGCAAGTAAGCAGATCATAGGGCAGAACTGTATGGGAAAGTTACTTTCCCATACTTTGCATACTTTCCGAAAGGATGCATATGGTCAACTACATGTGTTTGTGACAATATGAAAGTTCTGGGAGGAAATTTTTACTGGTTTCTGTACACTTCTACCCAAATGTGTGGCAAATATGAACATGGTCAACTACATGTGTTGGTGATCATATGAAAATTGTGAGAGGGATTTTTTGGAATTCCTATTGGTTTTTGTACACTTCTAGCCGAATTCGTATGTTTACACTCCTATAGTAAGTGAGGGAACTCCTGAGCTCAGCTGAGGAAAGCAAACATATATTCCTACTCTAACACTGTATAGGAAACTCCTGAGCTCAGCTGAGGAAAGCAAACATATATTCCTACTCCAACACTGTATAGGAAACTCCTGAGCTCAGCTGAGGAAAGCGAACATATATTCCTACTCCAAAACTGTATAGGAAACTCCTGAGCTCAGCTGAGGAAAGCGAACATATATTCCTACTCCAACATAGGATAAGAATGTCTATTAGGTAACTTCCTGGGCAGAAGTACAGTCGTTGCTGAATCCTAACTCGCAGTTGTTGAAGGATCTCCACGCGGTATGGAGAGAAAACGGGAGAAGTAACCAAATCGATCATCTGGGCGCGCGCTTTTTACACATTCATGGATGTGGTGATATTCTTAGGTTGGCTGGAACACGTATCAATGCTGAACGATCATTGAAAGAAGATTGCGGCGGTGATGAGTCCCTTTATGTGTCTAATAAGAACATACAACCACTAATGAAGGACCTATCTGGGGTGAGTTAATGCCGGCCCTGGGATTCGAACCCGGGACCTCCTACTTTACTGTGGTACTCAGGTACGAGGTCGTGGCAATGACACTAGTGGTGATGAAGACTCATCACTTCCGACTGAACTATACACACACGTGAGTGTCGATTCCCTATAGGTTGTGGATTTCCCCCTTTATGTCAGCCACGTCTCTATAACGAGTCGCCCGAGCTAGCATTCTGTGCTCTAGCCGCGTCGGAAGCGAAGACTAGTACGGCTGAATCAGCTCCAAAGGTGTCCTTCAGACCCTCGACCAAGCCGAGGGGTCTATAAGATGATATATTGATCTTAATGCTCGGCTCTGTTGTGTGGGTTAATGAGTAGTGAGAGCATATGCACATGTGTCGGTGACGGAAAATTTTGGGAAATTCTCGTTGATTTCGGAACACTTCTATTCGAATTTTGTATATAAACCTGTATAATTAGTGAGGAAACTCCTGAGCTAGGCTGCTGACGAAAGCAAACATATATTCTGGCATTGTAGTCATAGTTTATCGCTCCTGCATGGATAGATGTACTACCCGTATGGATGCTGGTGTCACCACCCAGCGATCTTCGGGATCGATCCCGGCACCTTGCATTTTTTTCAAGAATGTTGATGATTAAGTTAGGAACTATCCTAACACTTCAAAGTTTATATTATAGGATTCATTTTCCGGTGGTATGGTCGGACGATGTGGAAATTGCGTGGGATTTCGCTTATGGGTGACGGAGGCGAATTATTATCGGAGTTTCACCCTAGTGATATGAAAAACACTGGTGAA